ATGTTTACATACTACAAGGAGGGAGCTGCGCGGATGTAAACTGAACAAACAAACATACACCTTCTGCGTTTGTTTGTTCGTCTGACATTTCTATTCATTCCTTCGTCTTTCTGACGAATGAATAGACAAAATTACCGTCCGAATTTCTGACAATAGCGAATGCCCAAGGCATGCGCAGGAATTTAACAGCGCTATCTAGTGTGGGCAGATGGCGTCTCCCACAGGGACTTCATCTGCCCACACAAAGATGGCAGCACTTAGGTCCGGGCACGAAATTAAGTAGAAAAAAAAAGGTAATATGGGGGGCCTAGGGGCATTTGGAGGTGTTTAGGGAGCCAGTTAGATGTAGTGGAGTCAGGAGGGGGGTTAAAACAAACAAAATAATGGATTCGGCCATGATAGTGCCGCTTTAAGTAACCTTTTGTTGGGAAGTAGGAATTAATGAGAACTAAATTGCATTTTTTTTTCCCAAAGGACTTCTTAAATTGTTTTTTCTAAGACTGAAGATTTTCTTAAAGGTACAGTTACCAATTTAAATGTTTCTGTTGTGTTCCTCATTCATACTTCCTTTTTTTTGAAAAAGCATTACAGTTTCAGGCAAAGCTCTTTATCCATGCATCCTGCATTTTGTTACATGTGGCTGTTCTACTCTTGAGTGGATTAATCTTGCTAAGTGTAAAAATCCAAGCAGGGCTTGTGCTTGTTAATTTAGGTATGGGAGACCAATCAGTGCTTACACCTCATGTCAACTATTGATTTTAGAAGCTCAATATTATTGTTGTACTTTTTTAAAAGACCAATGGTTTCAAATAGAAGCATACATTTATGGTGGATAGATAAAGACAGTACACTTGGTACACTTTGCAGAGGCCCCTTGGAATACTTGGTAGAATTGGCAGGGGCAACTTGGAACACTTGGCTTTGGCACGTTGGACCTCTTGTCACCTTCTTTGTGGGGCTTGGCTCACTTGGAAGGGGCACCTTGGAATAATTTGCAGTAGAATCTTGGAACTTACGGCAGTGGCATTTTGGAATACTGGGTACTCCTGGCATGGGCACCTTGGCACAGTTGGCAACGGCATGTTGGAATACTTGGCACATATGGAAGCACCGCCTGGGATCACTTGGCACACTTGACAGGGATACATTGGCATACTTGGGAAGCACCTTTGAACCCTTAGCATTAACACCTTGAGAGACTTGGCAACGTTGGAATAAACATCGTGGCACACTTAGCTGGGGCACCTTGGAACAATTGGTACATTTGGCAGGAGTACTTTGGGAAAAAATGGCAATCTTGGTAGAGCCACTTTGGAAAACTTGGCATAGTTGGCCTGGTCACCTTGGAAAAATTGCCATACTTGGCAGTGACACATTGGAACAGTTGGGAAATGTGGCAGGGGTGCATTGGAACACTTGACAGTGACACCTTGGAAATATTTGCATATTTGGAAGCAGCATCTTAGCACAAATGTTACTTGTGGCTGCTGTAGTCTACATTGGAGTGATCTTGCTACATGTTAAAAGCCAAGCAGGTCTGGTCCTGGTTAGTTCGGGTATGGTAAACCAGTCAGTGCTGCCACCTAGTGTTAACTTTTGACTTTACAAGCTCAATATTGTTTTAGTTTATTAGTATACTTTTATACTAAGAGAGAAAGACTTGACACACTTTGCTGGGGCACCTTGGAACACTTGGCTTTGGCACATTGGAACTCATCACTCTTCATTGTGGAGCTTGGCCTGGTTGGAAGGTGGACCTTGGAACATTGGGCACAATTTGCTTGGGCACTTGGAAAACTTGTCTGGAGCACTTGAAACAACACCAGGGAATATTTGGTAGAGGTACCTTGGAATACTTGACACATCTGGCAGTGCCAACCTGATATAGAAATTGGTGCTTTTACATGTGAATGGCAAAACACCTCTTGGCTGTCACTCACACAGCCATGAAGTTTTCATCCGCTTCTGTTAGCTCACGCCAGCCTTTCCCATTCCCAATGAGCAGTACTATAGGTCACTGAGAAGCATTGGAAAGCTGCATGCATGGATTCAGCACAGAGGCTTCTCAGTGAGAGGCATTCACCGGAGTATTCCCCAGCACAGACGGAAAGTGTCTGGGAGAGAGGGGATAGCTTGCAGAGGCTGTGCAGAATAAAATACACAACATTTTGTGTGTGTGGAGGTATATCTACTAAACAGTGAAAAAAAATCACCCGTTTTCCTTTAATAAAGTAATGTATTTTAAATAATGTTTTAAAAAACCTCTTTTCATTTTATGTGTCCAAAGTTTACTACTCTCCTGCCTGTACCCCTACTGGTGTGTGTATATGTGTTTCTAGATGTGTGGCAGTGTGTGTATTGTGTATCTAGTTGTAAGTCAATGTTTTCCTATGTGTGTCTGTGTATCTGCATGAGTCAGTGTTTGTATCTGTATGTGTGTTTTTGCGTCTCTGTATCTGTATGTATGTCATTGTTTGTATCTGTATGTGTGTTTTTGCGTTTCTGTGTCTGTATGTATGTCATTGTTTGTATCTGTATGTGTGTTTTTGCGTGTCTGTATCTGTATGTATGTCAGTGTTTGTATCTGTATGTGTGTTTTTGCGTGTCTATCTGTATGTATGTCATTGTTTGTATCTGTATGTGTATTTGTGATGGAGCTCCTGTACTCTGAACAAGTAACTCCGCCTAATCCGCTTCCAAGCCACTTGCAGGGACCCTGGAACACTTCTGCCCCACTCACCGCAGCTTGACTGGGGTCCTTCTGGAGCTTTTCCACCCAACCAGGTTGCAGCTCTCCTTCCAGGCAGGTATCGTCCCCTCTGCCTATTCTGCTGCAGCCCTTCTTCCAGGCAGACATTATCCTCTCTGCCTATTCCTCTGCAGCTCTTACAGTGATAATAGTTATTGCCTTTAGAAAGGCACTTGCGACTCTCAGGACTAGCTCTCTTGACTTATCCCAGGGCTATAAGGATCTTGCAACCAGCCAACAGGTCCGAGGACTCTGTCACTGGGATCTCTAATAAACCACACAGGACACCCAGTTACAAATGGAACTAACATACACAACATATTTATAAATGGATGGGGAAGACAATAAATAGCACAAAATATCTCTCCTGCCTGTAGAATTCGCAAATGCAAATCTACCTGAATATGCAAATTAACTAGCCTTGCTATTCAGTTAGTGCATATTGCTGTTGCTACCAACAGAGGGCATTAGACAGGCTCCATAGCCAAATCCACCTAGTTGGTAGCAATCCTCAGCAGTACAGGAGAGCAGACAAAACATTTAACAGTACATACACAGACATTATAAACACCCTGCACGCTGCACCTATAATGGGCACAGGATGACTGAGACATAGGAGCCATTTGGGAACCATTGTAAAGTGCCCTTCTGCTCCCAGTGATGGTGACTACCGTCACAGTGTTAATCTGTATGTCTGTGTATCTGTATGTGTGCCAGTGTTTATATATGTGTCTCAAAAGAGGACCCCAGCCATACAAAAGAGGCTAACCGTCTCAAACGTTGACGAAAACCACTACATTCGATATGTGTGACACGCAAACAGACTCTATTCATGCTGAAATAATCCAGATAATCGCAAGTGGCTAAAAGAGGGACAGAATTGAAAGTGCGGATCCTGTGACCCTTGGTGTTCGCTATAGTTAAGGTGACTCCCCTACCCCTGACTAATCTCCTTTTCCTATTCTCTCCCACACCCCCACTTATCTTGGATAATAACAGATAACTGAAGAATGTCAAAAACAAACAATAAGAATAATAAGGTATAAAGAAGTCAGATGGGCTGTATTTCACAGTTGTTTTATAAATAGAACTGTATTATAAATGGGACTTCTATGTGGTTCTTGAATGTACCCTTGGATCGTGACACTAACGCAAAGCTATTGTGCTCTTCTTTCTGTATTTTTCTGTTTATGAAAACACAAAATAAAGATTGTCAAAAAAAAAAAAAAAGTTTAGTCCACAATATGTAGCATAGGGATACACACAGTAGAGCTATGTGTATGGAAAGCACACAGCGGTCGCAGGGGTTCGCAGGGCGGTCGGGCCCCCTGGAGTGACGGGCCTGGTCGCAGCTGCGATCCCTATATGTACGCCACTGCACACAGACATAAAAGGCACACAATCAAACACTCCCTGTGGCTTACCATCCTGTTCCCGGGTGGTTCGGTGGAAGGCGTGCTTCTTTGTCTGCACCCACAGTAGGTGCAGACAGCTCCTTCCACCGCCGCAGTGGAAAGGATCAGAGCGTTGCCATGGCAATGCACAGTAATGCTCTGATAGTAGGATGGAGAATTTCAGACTCCCACTACTCAGGCGGCTGTGGATCATCACCCTTTGCCCTAAGTCGGCGCTAGAGAAAAGCCGACCCACTAGGAGCCAGACAGACTGTCGATCCCATGCGCCGGGCCTGGAACTCAGCCATTCTACATAAAATGAGTGTCAGGAGAAGAGCACTGTGCGTTTTACTCCCACAAGTCATCCGTAAATTTGCATCCCTAGGCTGATGTGCACTAAGGTGGCCACCTGTGACGATATCGCTGACCCTGTCAGCCGCACGCAGTCCAAGGCTTCAGACCGTTAGAGAAAGTTTTTTGGGTTAAACTGTAAATAGTTAAACACATTAAAGTGAGATGGTGCCATGGACCTCATCACACCATAACAATGTCATTCTGATGAAGGTTTTATGGTGGCCGCAGTATCCCTTTAAAACCACAACCACATCTTGGAAAATTAGGTTGTTAATTTGCCTGTCATTTAAATGCTATTTTAATTTTCAATTGGATTTCATTTCCATAGACATCATGCAGTCAGACATTTTTACTACATCATAGATCATCAGGTTGTATTGTGATGTCACAAACCAGATAACACATTGTGATGTCACTGAGCAGATAACAGATAACCCTGTTACTGCTGTTGATACTGGCATTTCACAAGCAGTTTCATTGCAGTGAGATGATTTACAGAGACAATGGGTAACGTTATTTCTACGATTGAACGTCCCCTGGTTTCATGGCTGGCGGGTACTCAACCCCCACCCAGGAATTCTACTAAAAAAGAATTCAGAAAACAGCCAAACATCCAGCCTTCTACGGACAGGTAAGTGGATAGCGGCTGCAGGTATATTAGAAGATGGGGGTCAGAGTTTGATAAAGAGTAGAATAAAGGATGGTTTGTTAATGGGCATCATTTCTATAAATAACAGAACTTTCCTGTAGATTGAATTGTGTTGTCATTATATGAATGGGAGTAAAATCCTTAAAATGTGAATTTGTGTTTGATACTTGTTATTTTTCCTAACTGATGAGATAAAAAATGAACACAACAATGAATGTGTAGCTTAGCCCATTTGTAGTGATTGATATAAAATAGGCAGGCATTATACACGGGGGTGCAGAAAAAAAAGGAAAATATATAGGAATTAATAAAGGTGTTTTGAGTCCATAATCAGACAGCATCATTCTGGGATGAAATGAGTCTTGAAGAATCTCACAGGTTTTACACATTAAATCAAATTATTTAACCACTATAATACAACCCAAATAACAATGCATAATATATAATGACTTATTTTATCATCTCCCAAAATCATTTGGTTGTTCCAGAAATATGACCTCAAATGTGTGAAATTTGAAACTTCACTAATCATTTTCTCTTTCCTAAACAGGCTACCTCTTAAATCAGAGCCCCAGACATTCCCCCAATTATCATCTAATCTGGATATTTCTCCAGAAACTGAGAAGGGGAAGAGATGGGAGCCACGGGAGCAGAATGGTGGGTTTGTGGAAGAAATTCTAAAATGTTGCCAACAAGGCACAGAGAGACGTCGCCTTCCCCCTTCTGTTACATCTAAATTTGCTGTGCTTGATAAAAGGTAAATACTATATGATCACATTAACAAATTGCGATAATAACCTCTAGGCTGGGTGCTGGAAGAATTAGCCTGACCTTTTTTGTTTTTGTGTTTTTGTTCAAAAGCTTTAGACATTATGATACCTATGTCAGATATAGAAAAGAGGAGAAGAAACCTGATGTACCATACTATATTCGGGTGACTCCAAAAAAATCCAACTTGGAAATTCGTTATGCTCGACCACCTAGGTAAGTGTATCATGAGACACAGAATGACTGACCATAATCCTATAAGGTTATCCAAATAAAACTGCAGGGTCCTCAGTAAGCCAATACCCTGGTTCTCTCACTGGCTATCTGTGTACACAGGAAACCAATGAGAGAAGATCCACAGATAGAGAAAGATGTCAATGTTCTTTATGAGCCAACATCACAAATTTCTGAGGAGTACTACAGCAACTTGACTTACCAGGAATTACCTAATTTCTATAAGATATGTATTTTAATATAAACAGAAGCTTTAATGGTAAAAAGTAAACTATTTACTGAAATTACTGTAACCAGAATGTAATGTGCGTAACATAAATCATCTGATAGTGTCACTATAAGCTGTGCAATAATGACTGATAGATAACGAGTGATAGGGTAGCTGATGGACTGAAAGTGAGAGGAAAGCTGAAGAGGAATAAGATAAGTGACAAAATGGGCTGATGGATGGAAAGGGAGAAAAGGATATAATTGTTACAACTGTATTTTAACGTTTCCTATTTTAATTGCAGGGACCCATTCCTATTCTCTAAGGTGAAGCCTAAATTACTTCCAAAACAATACAAAACAACTAAAAAGGCTGAAAGTGTAAATTATTGTGCAGAGTGTCATAAACAGGATAATATTCTACAACCTGCACCTGTCACAAGTCTAGAGGATATTCCTTATCGGCCTTCTACGGACAGGTAAGTGGACAGTTGCTGCAGGTATATTAGATGGGGTTATTGGAAGATGGGGATCAGAGTTCGATAGAGATTAAATTAAAGGATGATTTGTTAATGGGCATCATTTCTGTAAATACCAGAACTTTCCAGTAGATTTACATTTGTAGTGATGGAATTTGAAATAAAATAAGCAGGCATGATATACAGGGGTGTTAAAAAAAAAAAAGTAAAATATATTGGAATTAAAGGGACACCATAGTCACCAGAACAATTACAGCTTAATGTAGTGGTTCTGGTGTCTATAGTCTGTCCCTGCAGGTTTTTTTTTTGTGTGAATAAAATGTGTTTACATTGCTCCTTAGGGTCACCTCCAGTGGCAGTCACCCAGACAGCCACTATAGGTGCTTCCTATGGCAGTGCTGCAGAGTGTGTAGCACTGACATTCAGCATCTCCACTCTCTGCATGGAGACACTGAACATTCTTATCAAGATGCATCAATTTATGATTGGCCATGGCAGCATTGCCTTCGCCCCCAGCATGCCTCCTTGGCTGAGATAATCAAAATTGACTAACTCAGTCAATCCAATTCTTTCTTAAGGTAAAGCATTGGATTGGCTGAGATCATCAATTCTGAGTTGGAAAAAAGGTGAAATATAACCTTTACTTTAGGGGGGCTAAGGCCCTAAATAGTGATATTAAAACTATAGTGTCAGGAATACATATTTCTGTTTCTGACACAATAATGCCCCATTTATTAAATGTGTTTTGAGACCCCAAATAGACAGCACCATCCTGGGATGAAATGCATGATGTAATTAGTCCAGACGTATCAAAGGTTTTACACATCAAATTGAATTATTTAATCGTTAGAATACAACCCAAATAGCAATGCATAATATCTCATGGCTTCTTGTATCATCTCCTAAACACACTCTGTTATTCCAGAGATATAACATCAATTTATTAATGACCTTTTTGTTTTCTGGTGTGTTTTTCTTCAAAATCTTTAGACATTATAATAACTATGTCAGATTTGGAAAAGAGGAGAAGATTCCCGATGTACCATACTATATTCGGGTGACTCCAAGAGAAACTAACCAACTAATGACATGTGCTCGGCCACCTAGGTAAGTGTATCATAAGACACAGAATGACCGACCATAATCCAATAAGGTTATCCAAATAAACCTTCAGGGTCCTCAGTATACCAATATCTTGGTTCTCTTACTGGCTGGCTGTGTACACAGGAAACCAATGAGAGAATAAACACAGATAGAGAAAGATGTCAATGTTCTTTCTGAGCCAACATCACAAATCTCAAATTGGAAAATTTAATCATTACAATATGACCCAAATAATAACCTGTAATATATAATGGCTTCTTCTATCATTTTCTAAACACACTCAGTTATTACCGAAATATAACATCAAACGTGAAATATGAAACTCCAATAATCAGTCTTTCTTTCCTAAACAGGCTACCACTTAAAGCAGAGCCCCAGACATTCCCCCAGGTATCACCTAATCTGGAAATCTCTCCAGATCCTGAGAAAGGGAAGAGATGGGAGCCACGGGAACAGAATGAGGGGTTTGTGGAAGAAAGTCTAAAATGTTGCCAAAAAAGCACAAAGAGACTTTGCCTTCCCCCTTCTGTTACATCTAAATTTGCTGTGCTTGATAAAAGGTAAATACTGTGTGATCACATTAATCAAAGGGGAGACATCTTTTTGTTTTCTATTGTTGATGTTTGTTTTAACAAATTGAGATTTTTGTCTCTCCACTGGGTGCTGGAAGAATTAGCCTGACCTTTTGTTTTTTTTTGTGTTTTTCATCAAACCATTTAGACATTATAATAACTATGTCAGATATGGAAAAGAGGAGAAGATTCCCGATGTACCATACTATATTCGGGTGACTCCACGAGAAACTAACCAACTAATGACATGTGCTCGGCCACCTAGGTAAGTGTATCATGAGACACAGAATGACTGACCATAATCCTATAACGTTATCCAAATAAACCTTCAGTGTCCTCAGTAAACCAATACCCTGGTTCTCTCACTGGCTGTCTGTGTACACAGGAAACCAATGAGAGAATAAACACAGATAGAGAAAGATGTCAATGCTCTTTCTGAGCCAACATCACAAATCTCAAATTGGAATATTTAATCATTACAATACAACCCAAATAGCAATGCATAATATCTAATGGCTTCTTGTATCATCTCTTAAACACACTCTGTTATTCCAGAAATATAACATCAATTTATTAATGGTAAAATAAATAAAGGAAAAGAGACAGCGCCAGACAACCAGTAAGGCAGCAACCCAACAAGGGAATCCCCCCAAAACCCTAAAATACAGGATAAAAGCAAAATATAAAAGGAGGGCTGCGCCAGAATAAACAGTGTCCAGTATCAATAGTTATTGAAGATTTTTATGTAATTTTAACACCATGGGACTTGTCTCCCCACAAGTAACCCTATCCTTTGGTTTTTTTTTGTTGTTTTTTTTTTTGTTTTTTTTTGTTTTTTTAGTTCTCTTTTTCTAGCTTCCGTTTTTAGATCGCCTTATGGGGAACTACAATACCCATAAGGCCGTGCGACTATACTGCCGAAAACCGGAAGTGATGATTATCACATGACCAATTGTGTTTTTAATTTTATAATCCTTCTCATCTTCGTTTTTAATAAAAAACCACTGAATATGCCTCATTAACCTATTTACTATCTGAGAATAATTTAATACTGTTAATTTGAGATGTAAAAAAGTATCTTTATTCTGATTGGCCGAAATTTTTTGGTGCCAATTTTAAATTGAACTATGTCTATATAAACACTATCTGCCAGGTTTTGTATTATATTCCATTTGATAAAGTCTGTTAGACGAAACATGTTATGGAAATTTAATTTTGTATAATAAATATTAAAGTTTTTGGTTAACTGATAGTCCCAACTACTTTTATTTATACATGTACCCTGGCTATTTATCGTTTTAGTTCATTGTTATATTTTATATACACTCTATTCTGATTTTAATACTATCTCTACAAGTTCCTGACAACCAAAGAAATCCATAGGTGGGGATTATTCCACCAGCGCTGACATCAAAGAGCAGTTGGTCTGCTCTGTACTTGTAAGTACGTTTTTTTTTATTCTCTTTTATAATTTACAGTTATACAGAGAGCACTATTTGGCTGTTTCTGTTTCCTTTGAGTTTTGGATACCCTGACGAACCCATCATAAATCCCATAAGCGGGGATTATACCGCTGTGTGCGCTTTACCCTAGAGCTGGACAGAAGCTCTGGAAATTGTGAGTTCGATATCATTAATCAATTTTTACTTCATTTGAACCGTACATTCTGCACCATCGTTTGTTCTCTCCTTTTATCTTTTATATATTACCTGAAGATCGCGTTCCTGTACCTAAAGACGACAGAGAGGATACCTTTTTAGGTCGGACTTTTTATCTTCAATAACTATTGATACTGGACACTGTTTATTCTGGCGCAGCCCTCCTTTTATATTTTTCAATTTATTAATGACCTTTTTGTTTTCTGGTGTGTTTTTCTTCAAAATCTTTAGACATTATAATAACTATGTCCGATTTGGCAAAGAGGAGAAGATTCCCGATGTACCATACTATATTCGGGTGACTCCAAGAGAAACTAACCAACTAATGACATGTGCTCGGCCACCTAGGTAAGTGTATCATGAGACACAGAATGACCGACCATAATCCTATAAGGTTATCCAAATAAACCTTCAGTGTCCTCAGTAAACCAATATCTTGGTTCTCTTACTGGCTGTCTGTGTACACAGGAAACCAATGAGAGAATAAACACAGATAGAGAAAGATGTCAATGCTCTTTCTGAGCCAACATCACAAATCTCAAATTGGAATATTTAATCATTACAATATGAGCCAAATAATAACCTGTAATATATAATGGCTTCTTCTATCATTTCCTAAACACACTCAGTTATTCCAGAATATTAGAGATTTTAGTCTCTCCACTGGGTGCTGGAAGAATTAGCCTGACCTTTTGTTTTTTTTGTGTGTTTTTCTTCAAACCCTTTAGACATTATAATAACTATGTCAGATATGGAAAAGAGGAGAAGATTCCCGATGTTCCATACTATATTCGGGTGACTCCACAAGAAACTAACCAACTAATGACATATGCTCGGCCACCTAGGTAAGTGTATCATGAGACACAGAATGACTGACCATAATCTTATAAGGTTATCCAAATAAACCTTCAGTGTCCTCAGTAAACCAATACCCTGGTTCTCTCATTGGCTGTCTGTGTACACAGGAAACCAATGAGAGAAGAACCACAGAAGCTTTAATGGTACAAAGTAAACTATTTACTGGAATTACTGTAACCAGAATGTAATGTGCGTAACAATGATCTGATAGTGTCACTAAAAGATGTACAATAATGACTGATAGATAACGAGTGATAGGGTAGCTGAAGGACTGAAAGTGAGAGGAAAGCTGAAGAGGAATAAGATAAATGACAAAATGGGCTGATGGATGGAAAGGGAGAAAAGGATATAATTGTTACAACTGTATTTTAACTTTTCCTATTTTTTAATTGCAGAGACCCATTCCTATTCTCTAAGGTAAAGCCTAAATTACTTCCAAAACAATATAAAACAACTAAAAAGGCTACAAATGTCCAAGAAAAAGAAGTAGACAAAAAAGAACTGGAAAATGAAAAAAAGTATTCTGCAGAGTATTGTAAACACAATATTATTCCACAGCCTGAAGCGGTCAAAAGTCTAGAGGATATTCCCTGTCACTTGCTGCAGGCAAGGTCTCTAGAGCCTACAGAGATTATCACACATATAGAAGACAACACTTCTCTAGAATGCCCTGTTTCTACTATTAAACCTCATACAAGTGGATTGACAGAGGAGTTGCCAGTAAACCTTGGTCAGCCACAGTCCACTTTAGGTTGTCCACATGAGCCTGCAAATCTAGATTCTCAGAACCCAGTTACAGCTATTTTACTACAGCCTACCTTTCTAGAGCCTACAGAGGTTATCACACATCTAGAAGACAACACTTTTCTAGAATGCCCAGTTATTACTATCGAACGTCATACAAGTGGATTAACAGAGGAATTGCCAGTAAACCTTAGTCAGCCACAGTCCACTTTAGGTTGTCCACATGAGCCTGCAAATCTAGATTCTCAGAACCCAGTTACAGCTATTTTACTACAGCCTACCTCTCTAGAGCCTACAGAGGTTATCACACATCTAGAAGACAACACTTCTCTAGAATGCCCTGTTACTACTATCGGACCTCATACAAGTGGATTGATAGAGGAGTTGCCAGTAAACCTTGGTCAGCAACAGTCCACTTTGGATTGTCAACCTGAGCCTATGAACCTAGATTCCCGGGAGGCTGTCAAAGATCAAGATCCAGGTATTCTGTTAGTGGGCCCAGTTTGTCCTGCCAAATCAGGCACTAGTGAAATGTTAGAGGAGCTGCCTGTAAACCTTGGTCAGCCACAGTCCACTTTGGATTGTCAACCTGAGCCTATGAATCTACATTCTCGGGAAGCTGTCAAAGATCAAGATCCAGGTATTCTTCTAGTGGGCCCAGTTTGTCCTGCCAAATCAAGCACTGGTGAAATGTTAGAGGAGTTACCAGTAAGCTCTGACATTGTGAGTTATCACTCCAAAACTACTTTGGATTGCCCCACTGTTCAGCCAGAGGAGTTGCTTCTATTCAATCAAAAGGTTACGCCTGAGCAGGAACAAACTGAGATGAAGAATAATCAGCCAGGAAAACATGTGTGTCTGAGCAGTGACCATGAAGAGCAGCCATTGCCAGAAGACAAAGAAAAAGAGCCACCTGGTGAGGCTGATATAGTTCGAAAGAAAAGTCAAGACCTTCCAGTACCTGTACTCCAAGAGAAGAAAAATATTGAATCAAAGGTGGAAAGGATACACTATGACAGGGAATCTTTACTTAAATTCAAATCTATAACACAAGAGCCAAGGGATTTGTCTGAGATTGCAAAACTCTACCAAGGTATGCTCATTAGACCTCACCTTCGACCAGTAGATCCATCACGATTTACCAACAGGAAATGTACACCTCTAACTGCAAATTTCATCCACCCTGCTAAGGATAATTACAGACTGCCATGTGGAATGGGCCAAATGAGGTCCCCGCAAGCTCCTAGTACAGAACTTCGCAAAATCCTTCAAGTAAGTGAGAATATAAAACCGCATACATCTGAAAAGGCTTGGAAACCTCCCATGAAAAGAGCAAATGAAGATCACACTCTTGCCAAGGCTCAAGAATTGGTTCGCAAAGTTCGCAGCATTCTAAATAAAATCACACCTCAGACATTCCAGCACTTAACCAAGCAGGTGAAAGACCTCTCTATACATACAGAATATCAACTGAAAGGTGTTGTAGAAGTCATCTTTGAAAAAGCAGTAGCAGAGCCACATTTTGCTGTTGTATACGCCAGCATGTGCAACTGGCTAATGATGCTTGAGGTCCCAACGGAAGACAACCCTGAAGAAAGCATTACATTCCGTAGGCTGCTAATAAGACTCTGCCAGAAGGAGTTTGAGAGAGTTGAAAATGGGAATGAAAAAACTGAGAAACTGCAAAAGGAACTGGATGCTGCCACATCACCGAGGGAAAAGGCCCTACTAAAAGACGAATTAAGTGATGCTTGTAATAAAGCACGCAGGCGATACCAAGGAAACATCAAATTTATTGGGGAGCTATTTAAGCTAAAATTTCTCTCTGAAGACACCATGAAAGACTGCCTAATGAAACTACTAAACAGGAACAGCGAGGAGTCCATCGAATGTATCTGCCTTTTGCTCACTACAATTGGAAAATCCTTGGAAAATGGACAGTGTCGCTTGGACAACTATATCAACAAGATTGACATCTTTATTAAAAACCAGAAAACCTCTTCGCGGATTCGATTTTTGGTGCAGGATGTGATGGAATTAAGAAAAAATAACTGGGTACCTCGACATACACCTCAGGGACCGAAAACAATAGAGCAAATTCATAAAGAGGTAGAACTGGAATCTAGACGAAAAGAGCAGTGAAACAAACAAAAAGGCTACTCATTGCAAGGACACATGGATAAACACAACGTATGAACAGGGACGAGGCTGCAGATTCATTCACATAAATACATTCAAAATCATTCAGGCAGCAACACCAACTTTTATGCACAAAGAAACACATATACACAAGCACAAACATTTATCAAAGACAAATTCAGACAATCCTGCAAAGTCAAACACAAACAGTCATACACTGCCTATCGGTAGGTTTAACACTTGAGCAAACAAAATATTTATTCAGATACAAAGGCAATCCCATGTTATGAAACAAACACATTAACGGTGGCATAAAAACATGATTTAGAATTGCACTTGGTAGTGTCATCATTGCCAAATAAAATACACAGTGAAACTCACATTAACACCATGCATGGTTCACTGGCCTTCACACTTATCAGAACCACTTTTATTTTCCTACACACATATTTTGTATATTGTTAATTTTCTTAAAACAATAAAGTATATATTTTTTTAATTTATCCTGTTATACTGATGTCGGTTTGTTCTTTGGAGTGTTTTATTTCCGTGGCCGGTGCTAGGTTTCAAATATAACTATAGATTCAGTCCATACTATATCTCACAGACACCATCCTAAGGCCTCATCCCCTGGTTTCTCTGTAGCTGTATAGTACACACTCCCTTAAAGGAATCCTCCAAGCACCAGCAGTCTGCAGTGGTTATAGTACCTGTAGTGCCCTATTGCCCTCACAGCATAAGTAGTCAAACTTTTTGTGACAGAGAACATCCACTTGTGGCCCAGAATCTCCTGCATTGAGCTAAACCAGTGGTCCAGGGCTCAGCTCATTGGTTGAGAGAGCTCAGCCTACTCCCTCAGCCAGCGAGCTTAAAAAAGTGGAGTTAATGGAAGCTACTTCTTTGACTACTTACACTGGGGGTGCGAGGGCACTCTTAGTATCATAACTACTGGAGCAGACTGGTTAAGGTGTTGCAAATATTCCTTTAAACCCCTTCAGGGCTGGAATAGAAATAGTGAATTGTTGTGGAGTAAACTAATGCACGGCATTAAAGGGTTAAGCTGTGCCGGCTGTTGATCTATGTCTCCCTTGTTGTAGTCCATTGGACATTAATATTAGGGAGTTAAATGATTAATTTTATGTTGTTAAAACCAAGGCACATATTTGATGAACATTTTTTGGGTTATTCACTACAGTATGGCTTTAAAGTAAATTTCAATTTAAGGACAAAATAGCCAAATTGGAAGCATAGCTGTCTTGGAGAATGTCTCCATTTCTGCTTTTTGGCCTCGAATGTGAAGTTCAATTTTAACTCCCAGTAATTCTCACTTTAGTGCATAACTCTGAAAGGATCCATACTCACTGGCAGACTGAGAACCATCTGTGTTTTCTGTAATTACTATCACAGCAGGTTACCCCACATGTATTTGGAGAAACAATGAAAATCATAAATGTTTCAGGTGAAATCCCCTTTAATTATGTACAAAGCCATTATTGTACTTTCATAAAGAATTATCAGAAAACATTTATGTTCCATATTGCTACTCCAAATAAACGTGGAGTGAAACTTGTGCATCCTTAATATGCTATTAGCACTTTTAGCTATTTGTCCTGGCTTCATACTGTAAATCGCATTGTGAGAATCAAACAGTGATACTGCTAATGACTATATTTGGCAGCATAGGGGCAATCGAATCTTTCAGGTACCACATTCACCTGCTATATTTTTTATTTTGAATTGACGTGTCTATGATTTCATTTATTTTTCGAAAGTTATATTGCAAATATTGCAAGGAGTGAATTATAATTTTAAAACTAAATATTTGCAAAACGTATCATCAGTGAACTATACGTTTAACATCAATCACCAAATTCAATAGTGCTATACAAAGTAAATAAATGTAAAAGTTAGAGACGTCCATCAGGGGATTTAACTAAGAGCATTTTGATACTTCTCATTCAACCATTGTATCCATAATCTCTGCCAGAACGGCGTGTTATATAGTTAGCACTTTGTGCTTTCCACAGAGACATTTCAATTCAAGGTGAATTTCACAGACCTACCATGTACCATTACAGTAAATACTGGCGATTTTTATTTATGGGAAGTTATAAGGTTATATTAGGGTCGTGTCATTTTCAGTGTTGCAATTTTGACAATTTGTTTTATTGGACTCACGTGATTATTTTTTTTAGAAAAAATTGCTTTCCCGAACAGTACTTTATTCCCATTGTGGCATTTTGTTTGCAAAATAAGACAAACTGAGTCTTTTTCAATGCTTTTTATTTCATCACCAATTTATTTGTATTATACTTTTTTTATTTGTAAAAAAAAAAAAATAAGTTTGGTGTGCAAGTCAAAAATAGAAATGGCAATACACATACATATAGTTTAGCAATTAAAACCACTGATAACAATTTATCACCATTTACAAGGCGACATTGAGAGCATATAAAAATGATAACCACAATGCAGTCAGGAAGCTCGCACGATGATAAATTAAGGTATCTGTAGGGTCAGTGTTAAACAGAGTGCTGCACATTATGAGCTATACTACCAGGAACAGAGCCAATCCTAGGCGGGTGTACGGATTAGGCTCTACTCCCAAATTAGGCTCCGCATTCTGCGCCAGAGACCACCAGGAATCAGGATTCCTGCCTCCCTAACCCAAGCTAAGCATCAGAGTGGGGGGAATAAACTACAGTTTATTGTTCTCTCCTACTAAAGCCCCATAACCCCAAATTGCAGCCCCTAACTCCCCTACTACAGCCCCCTAACATCCTTACATCAGCCCATAACCACCAATTGCAGCCCCTATACACCATTACAGACCTAATGTCATAACCCCAAATTACAGACATTACCTCCCACACTACAGTCCCTTTCCCCACTTGCAACCATCTCCACACTTCAGTCCCTAACCCTCTACTACAGTACCTATCCC